TTGAAGTCGGTGATACAACTATATTATTTTCAAAAACCCACCAGTCAGATGTTTTATTAAAAACTGCGACAGCCCCTGTTTGTGCTAATGGACGATATGCAGAAGCAAATAATTTAATGGACGAAAGAGCCCAAAGATCTTTTATCACACAAAAGTTAGCCGATAAACTTCAATTGAATATTGATGGGACAGATATGCTACATTTATCAGCGTTCGGCGACCTAGCGCACAGCGTTCAACATCTTAATACGGCAAATGTTAATTTAGTAGCAGACGACCGAATGTTAGTCCCAATCCGATTATTTGATTGTTCCCGTTGATAGCAAAGCCCATCAATAATGTATATCGCAACTCCATCAAACACTTGAAATATCTACAAGGACTCAAACTTGCTCACCCCTGTTACCATGGATACTACATTCGATATATCACTATTAATTGGTGCTGATTTTTACTGGCAGATAGTTGGCGACAAAAATTATTAGAGTGATGGACTCACTGCTGTAAGTTCCCGCATTGGTTTCTTCTTATCCGGCCCACTTCATGTAGAGAGTAGTTATCCACCTTCCAATGTTTATGGAAGTCATAGCAACCCACGTATCTGAAACGACAGACCTCACTCGATTTTGGGATATAGAATCAATGGGTGTTTCAAAAAGAGACTGTGAAGATACCGATGCCTCTTCTTATCTACAACAGTACCAGAAATCGTGTATTTCATTCTCAGACGGAAATTACAAAGCGAAGTTGCCATGGAAACAGAATCATCAAACCCTCCCTTCAAACTATAACATTACCAAGAAAAGAACAGAATGTACAATAAAACGCCTAAGTCAGAAGCCCCAAATGTTGAAGAAATATAACGATATTATACAGGAACAAGAAAATAGAGGTTTCATTGAAAGAGTAGACGAAAGTTCCAGGGCAAAACGCGTGCATTATATACCACATCATGGAGTTGAAAAGAATTCCACAACAACGCCCATACGAATAGTCTATGACTGTAGTTGCCGCCAATCAGAAAGAAGTCCAAGTTTAAACGATTGCCTTGAATCCACACCTCCAGAGCTGAATGATCTAACCACCCTTCTGTTAAGATTTCGGCTTGGTAGATATGCAGTATCAACTGACATAGAGAAAGCCTTTCTATATGTCGGTCTACACGAAGATGACAGAGATGTTACCAGATTTCTATGGTTATCTGACCCTACAGATCCCAAAAGCCAGCTTGTGACATACAGATTTCGAGTTGTTCTTTTTAGAGCCACATGTTCCCCATTTATTCTCAATGCTACATTACTAAAACACATGACCCTGAATGCAAGTAACCCTGCCGCTAATATAATTACCAGAGACCTGTATGTCGACAATGTAATTTCAAGTTTTCAAACAAGAACAGGATCTTCTTACCTATTTCCGGTACGCACGTACTCTCATGTCCGAAGCAGGATTCAATCTGCGATCGTGGACTTCAAACTCCAGTAAATTATGTGAACTCGCAGTAGCTGAAAAAGTCTTGGACAAGGATAAAGTTGTCAAGGTATTAGGAATGTTATGGGACCCGGATAATGACGAGATGTCGTTTGTACAGCGCACGATAGTAAACTCTGAGAGAACAACCAAACGTTCTATTCTCAAACAGACTTCAAAATTATATGACCCCCTGGATTGCTTAGCCCAGTAACTGTACGCGCCAAATTACTAGTTCAAGACCTATGGAAGAAGAAATTTGATTGGGACACACCACTTCCGGTTAATATCATTAACACCTGGGCTGATTTGAGCATCGACCTGAACAGCGTAATTCAGACCAAGTTCCAGAGACAATATTTTCCCACCACTGAAAATACAGCAAATTCTGCCGATTTTTAATTTACACGTGTTTGTTGATGCAAGTGCACGTGCTTATGGTGCTGTAGCGTATCTTACTTCCGGTCATACATCTACCCTTGTATTTGCAAAGAATAGAGTCACACCTGTAAAAGAGATAACTTTACCCAGACTAGAAACTGATGGCAGCACTCATCGGTGCACGTGTAACCCACCACGTGTCAAATGCATTCACGTGCAAGAAAATCACATGTTGGTCCGACAGTCAAATAGTGTTAAGTTGGCTGAAATCTACAAAAAACACTTAAACGCTTCATTTTGAACAGAGTCGAAGAAATCAAGAAACTTACCCCCGATATTGAATGGCGATATTGTCCAACAGATCAAAATCCCGCTGATTTACAAACCAGAGGTTTAACTGTGACCCAGTTTACAATCAAGCACATTATGGAAAAATGGACCTACTTGGTTAATTCACAACAATAAATGGCCTACTTTGGAACCAATTAGTGCAATCACTTTCACTACGTTGACATAGCAAAATTCAGAGGAAGAAAATATATCTGACAAGAGGGGTAACTCTGGTTTACGTTAAATGCTAGAGTTAAACATATATTGCAGCTTTCACTAGTTAGTACGTGTTACGGAATATGTTATACGTTTCATTAAAAACTGCAGAGTGAGGTATAATAGTCGCCATTTGAAGTGGTCCAATATCTGCAGAAGAGCTGTGGTTAGCAGAAGGAAAACTGATTGAAACTTGCCAACAACAATATTTCCCAGACGTAATTCAAGATCTTAAATCCCAGAAAAAACGCAGTCCAATAATTCGGCAGCTAAGACTTTATTTAGACAAGGACGGTTGTATTCGTTGTGGCGGAAGAATACATAACGCACAGTTGCCAGAGACAACAAGATTCCCGTTCCTTATGTCCCCAAAGAGTCATGTCACCAGATTGATAATAGAAGACGCTCATTACAATCAGTTACATGCAGGTGTCGCCCATACTGTTACCCATCTACGCCAGAAATACTGGATACCATCAATCAGACAGCACGTGAAAAGTGTTCTCCGAAGATGTGTCATTTGTAGAAAAGTTACAGGAAGACCCTATACCGCCCCAGACCCCCCACCACTTCCGGTTTCCAGAGTAATCGTCGAACCACCCTTCTCCGTAACAGGTGTTGATTTCACAGGGGCACTTTACATTAAAGAAAAGCAAGTTCAGCAGAAGGTATACATATGTCTATTCACGTGTGCCAAAACCCGTGCTGTTCATCTAGAAATAGTTCCAGACCTTACAGAAGAATCATTTATGTTAGCCTTCAGACGATTCATCAGCAGACGATCATTACCAAGACTGATGATATCTGATAATGGTACCACTTTTCATGGAGCAGCCAATCAAATCCGGCGACTCTATAATTCACAAAATCTTCATACTGCCCTTACACAAAGAGGAACACACTGGCAGTTTATTCCAAAAAGAGCACCTTGGTAAGGTGGAATGTGGGAGCGACTAATTGGTGTAATGAAAACAGCGATTAAGAAAGTTCTCGGCAAAGCTTCCATTAATTTGCAAACGCTGCAGACGATAGTTACCGAAGTAGAGGCAATGATGAACGATCGACCAATCACCTACGTTTCATCTGCTAGAGATGATCCAGAGCCTCTCACCCCTTCACACTTACTACATGGACGCAGACTTACAACTCTACCATTCTACGATACTGTGGTAACCAACGATACTCCCGGTTACCATATTAAAGGTGACGATGTTCGACAACGTGCTAGAAGACGTGAGGAATTAATTAATCACTACTGGCACCGCTGGAAACACGAGTATCTGACGTCATTAAGAGAATACCAACAGTCGAGTGGTACCACAAACCAGACTATTCAGGTTGGTGACGTTGTTATTGTCCAAGACGACTTTACACCCAGGCTACAGTGGAGCCTTGCGGTAGTTGATGAACTTTTAACGGGAAATGACGGGTTTTCGAGGGCCGCGAGGATACGTACATCCGGAGGGCTGACTACACGACCGATTATCAAATTGTACCCATTGGAAATTATCCAGAAACCAGATGAATAGACATTACGATACTTATTGAAATATTTATCCTATACCGCTAATATTTCGTGAAAAGACAATTCAATTTGTATAAACATAGACAAGTGAAAATAATTCAAAACGAGACTTTACATAGCGCCAATCTGTTTGTGATATATCTAAATATAGCTGTTTTAATTATGGTGCTCAATTTCAATATGATTTTAAATAAGTAATTCCATTACTTTATGTTTTTGTATGACAATTATTACATTTAGCATTTCTGAGGCCCGGAGAATGTTGTAGATTTGGCGCGACGTCACGTAACGTCGCTTTTGCGCGAATTGTTTACTTATGTTTTCAACGTAACGTCATTTCCTATGTATGTAAACATTCAGTTTGAATAAAGGAAACGAACCGTACACAACGCCTAGTTTTATTCACGATCACGTCCTCACATACTTTTTGAGTTACGTGCGACACAAGATGAAATTTGTAAACTTTTACTAAGTCAAGGGCAATAACTCTATAAATACTAAATATATCCACACAAAAATACTCAGGTGCACAACTACACATTCTGATCAACACTCTTTTAAAGTTTCATGACACTAGGTATAATACTTTTTGAGTTACATGTGACAAAAGTTGAAAATTGTAAATTTTTACTAAGTCAAAGGCAATAGCTCTATAAATACTAAATATATCCACATAAAAAAATCCCCAGGTGCACAATTACACATACTGATCAACATTCTTTTAAAGTTTCATGACTCTAGGTCAAATATTTTTTAAGCTATGTATGACACAAAAGAGAATGGACGGACGGATAGAAAGGACAGACGGATGCCCCCCCCCCCCAAATTGTAAATTTTTACTAAGTCAAGAGCAATAACTCTATAAATACTAAATATATCCACATGAAAATCCAGGTGCACAACTACAATTGCTGATCAACATTTCTATAAAGTTTCAAGTCTCTAGGTCAAATACTTTTTGAGCTACGTGCGACACAAAAGAGAACGGAGGGACAGAAGGACAATAGTAAATCTAAATGCCCCCCCCCCAAGGTGGGGGAACAATAAAACATCATATATGTATAATTGGTACATCTACCTTGGTTTTGAGACCAGAGTTCTCCTTCATCAACTCAGATATTTGTTGTTTATCTTGTAACTGCTGTCTCTTCATAGACTCCAGTTCATCTAAAATACAACAGCAATTTCAATATACATATAATATATTATTTTAATATACATTTGTGTAAGATCATTACATTCTAACATTAACTTGAGGAGCAGTGCATACCACAAAATTTACAAGTATGTGCTTACATCAAATCATTACAGCAGATACTATTCATTTATCAAATAATTTGTCAAAGGGCCCTAATACTCTTTTGGTATGCACTGGTTTATACAGAATTTATTTTAGTTCGAATGTGTAGGAAGCTTTAAGCATATAGACACACTTTCGAATCCAATCCTCGAACCAACCAGTACTGAGCAATGAGTGTAAAGTTTCTTGCTCAAGGAAACAATGACTTGCCCCTGATGGGGTTTGAACCCATGTGGCTAGCGATCATTAGATTTCTAGTCTGAAGCGTTAACCACTTGGCCATGCCACCACTCCTTACTGAATTGATGAAAGGAACTTCTTAGTGATTGCTCATTAACTCTATTCGCAATAATGATTTACTGTTGAAGAAACAAGCCACCTGCAAAACCTGTCTCTTAACTGTTGACTCCCAAATTTAAGTGTCTTCATATGAAAACCCCTAAAATTAATATTAATGAACAGTTCTAAACTCAAAGTAGGGCATGTCCATTACTGTATGGTAAGGGTGAGTTACATAACAAGAATGTGTTTGTTTAACACAAAAGCCCCGGCTCAGATTCTTGTCAGTAACAATATTTAAAAAAAAAGTTGACCCATTCACTCAGTTATGGACAGAAAAATTGCCAAAACAATAGTAAACACAGTTATATAACTTTACATAATAGTTATAGTACATGAAACAAGTTAGTTACGAGGATATAACACTGGCTGGGGCGACATCAAGGGGTGTTTCTGCTAAAAAAATGGCGGGGCCGTTAAGCCGAGACAGTTTTTTTGCAGAAACATCCCGAGATGTCGCCCCAGCCAGTGTTATACCCCCGTAACTAACGAGTTTCATATACTATAACTGTTTTATCGCAATGACATATTTTTTTCTTTTTTTGTAATAGAAACAAATAGTTAAATAAATAAATTGTTAGCTTAACATTCCAGTTATTTATGATAAAGCAGTTTTTTCAAGTTGTTTTCGCTGCCCCCAAAAAAGATATACAAAAGATATCCAATGTTAGAGGCGGATTGTAAACTGTTTACAAGATTGATTCAAGATTAAAGGGCTTTTTTTCAGTGGAAATTAATTATTCAGCGGATGTACCTTTTGATTAAATGAGAGTAAATTTAATTTCATAAATTATCTTTGTTTATATTTTTCATTGTATTTATGTATTTATTTTATTTTATTGATTCCATTTTTTAGCTCGACTCCTTTTTTTTTTTTAAAAGTAGAGGTATTGCTATAGTCGCGGCGGCGTTGCCGTTGCCGTCCGCAAACTTGTACCTGGATCATAACTTTTATATTTCTTGGTGTATTGTCTTCATACTTGGCCACAACCCTTGGGACAAGACCTTTCAGTAGACCACACTAACATTGACCTTCATCCATAAATGACCTTGACCTTCAAGGTCAAAAGTCCAAATTTTGATTGTTCTTGCTATTATTGGCTGTTACTTTGTTGTTTTTCTTTTTAATGGATTGTCTTCAAACTTGAACATAATAAACATCAAGGATATCCCTTCAAAATAACCAGACAGACCTTGACCTTCACTCATAAATGACATTGACTTTGAAGGTCAAATTATTGAAATTTTCATTGTTTTGGTTGTAACTGGCTGTAACTTTGCTATTATTGAAGGGATCAACTTCATATTATTATGGAACATTCTTAAGGACAAGACCTTGTTGTTTATCAAACCCAAATTGACTTCGACTCTTTAATGACCTTGACCTTAAAGGTTAAAATTACTGAATTTTCTCAGATTTGTGCATTAAATGACCATATATATTTATTGGTGTGTATGTATATATATATATACATATATATATATATATATATATATATATATATATATATATATATATATATATATATATATATATATATATATATATATATATATATATATATATCATCATCATCATCATCATCTTTAACAACAAAAAACATCATCATCATCAACAACAACAACAGGAACAGCAACAACAACAACAACAACATTGCGTGTATCTATTTACAGAATGCATTGCGTGTATCTATTTACAGAATGCATTGCGTGTATCTATTTACAGAATACATTGCGTGTATCTATTTACAGAATACATTGTGTGTATCTATTTACAGAATGCATTGCGTGTATCTATTTACAGAATGCATTGCGTGTATCTATTCACAGAATGCATTGCGTGTATCTATTTACAGAATGCATTGCGTGTATCTATTCACAGAATGCATTGCGTGTATCTATTTACAGAATGCATTGCGTGTATCTATTTACAGAATGCATTGCGTGTTTCTATAAATTACAGAATACATTGCGTGTATCTATTTACAAAATGCATTGCGTGTTTCTACTTTTTGTTTGTTTGTTTCATTTTACATCTTTTCCCAACAGTATTTCAGTCATATAGGTGGGAAGTTTACTAACCATCGTTCCTGGAGAGTTACACCAGTACTAGACTACCTTCCTCCGTGCTAAACTACCAAAGCATCTCCCAGGGATCGAACCGTGTTTCTACTTATATATAAATGAGTATATTTATATATACAAAATATATAGACAAAACTAATGTGACAAGACAGACCGATTAAATTTATAAAAAGGAAACGTTAAGATTTGTTCAAACATTTCTTTGTTTGCTTTTAGAAAAAGTAAAAAGTCAAGCGTTGCCCCCGCCCAGCAGTGGCTCTTGTGTTATTTTATTTGATTTTTGCTACTGGGAATGGTCGTTACCACTGCCCAATTGGAGCCTCTATGAAAAAAAAAACTGCATTGATATAATTATACAAGGTGCGAAAAAACAGTCCAGTTTTTTTCCTATATGAATCAATGAAAAAACTGTACTGCTATATATCAATACAGTTTTCAAATGCTCATTGAAGAGTACTGAGTATAATGGGTAAGAACAAAGGAAAAGTTTCAAACCATGCGATAAACATTGAAGAGTACTGAGTATAATGGGTAAGAACAAAGGAAAAGTTTCAAACCATGCGATAAAGAGTCACAACGTTTTGTAACTGTGAAAAATATTGAGTTTGCAAATCTTTGCTATGACTTGTGATGAAGTTGAAAAATATTCAACTTTATCAATTATATATATAAATGCAAGACTTTACCTTGAACCCAGTGACCCAAAACTCCATCAAAACTTAAAGGACCATCTTAGGTATGTTCCTTATAAATATGAGACTTTGGTTAAAAAAAATATACAAAGGCTGTATAAAAAAAAGTGTAAAAAAATCTATTGTTAGCACAAGTGGCATTGACCTTTTGACTTCCAGCACTGGACGATACAAGGTATGTTCCTTCCAAATATAAAAACATCACTCTATAAATAAAGGCTGTATAAACCAATGTGTAACAAGAAAGTTGAACGACACATATGCCCCCTTTCTAGCCCTTGACTCACATTATTGGCAATTTTGTTTATAAAAAACTTGCCATAAATGGGTACATGGAAGTGCTCAATTATGGAAAAAAGAAAAAAAATGAAGACTTTGTGATAAAAAGTTTTCAAGATAATGAGCGGAAACCATTGTGACATTTAAGGCCCCTGTGACCTTGACCTTTGAACTAGTGACCCCAAAATCAATAGGGATTACTTACTAGTTATGACCAATCACTATGTGAAATATGAAGACTTTGTGATAAATTACTTTCAAGATAAAACCATACTAACATTCAATAACCCTGTGACCTTGACCTTTGACCCAGTGACCCCAAAATCAATAGCGGTCATCTACTAGTTATAACCAATCACTATGTGAAATATGAAGACATTGTGATGAATACTTTTCAAGATAATCAGCAGAAACCATTATTTCATTTAAGGCCCCTGTGAACTTGACCTTTGACCTATTGACCCCAAAATCAATAGGAGTCATCTACTAGTTATTACCAATCACTATGTGAAATATGAAGACATTGTGATGAATACTTTTCAAGATAATAAGCAGAAACCATGCTGACATATATGGCCCCTGAAGGCCCCTGTGACCTTGACCTTTGATCTAGTGACCCCAAAATCAATAGGTGTCATCAACTAGTTATGACCAATCACTATGTGAAATATGAAGACTTTGTTATGAATACTTTTCAAGATAATAAGCGGAAACTATTTTGACATTTAAGGCCCCTGTGACCTTGACCTTTAACCTAGTGACCCCCAAATAAATAGGGGTCATTTTCTAGTTATGACCAATCACTATGTGAAATATGAAGACTTTGTGATAAATAATTTTAAGATAATCAGGGGAAACCATGTGGTCTACCGACGGACAGACTAACATTAGGAAAACAATATACCCCCTCTTCTTCGAGGGGGGGGGGGGGGGGCATAAAAATCTATTTTAAAAACCCTTTTATTTACCTTGACCCACTGACCCCTCACTTGATCCAATGGAAGAATACCATGCAAGTTATCTTCCTACCAAATATGAAAGACATCTGTCCATAAATAAAGGCTATAAGGGCAAAAGTGTAATAAAATCTAGCATTGGTGACCTTGCCCTAACTGACCCTTTAATTAATCCAAAGGAAGAAGTTTGTTTTGTTTGTTTGTTTCATTTTAAGCCATTTCCCAACAGTATTTCAGTCATATAGGCGGACCAAAGGAAGAAGACAAAGCAAGTTATCATCCTACCAAATATAAAACACATAAGTCAAAAAATGAAGACTGTATAAGCAAAATTGGCATCATTGACCTTGACCACTGACCCTACCTTAATCAAAAGGAAGAATATCATGCAAGCAATCTTCCTTCAAAATATCAAATATATCTGTCAATAAATAAAGGCTGTAAGGACAAAAGTGTAAAAATCTATTTTTAGCACTAATGACCTTAACCAAACTGATCCTTAACTCCATCAAAAAG